TGTGTAGTAGCAGGGTCTAAATGATTACTTTGTGTTTGGCAGGCTAGTGATCTGTACATTTGCACCTTACCTTGATGTGCAGTAAGTCTTCAGGTAGTCAAGCCCTCGTCAAATCATAGACCTTGTCTACGCTAAAAGGAAGATTGCCACTGCCATGATCAATATTCCAGAGCTTGATTTAGTGAATCTAGCTAAGACTTGCTAAATCTAACTCAGAAGGCTCCCTGCTGGTGTACAGTACTCCTCTTTTTGCAAGGAGTAATGGAAGCTGCTGTGGGGATGCCATCAATCTTGGCTTATGTATTCTACGTAGTTGGAGTTACGTACCTTAAGCTTAGCTGCCAGGTCAAGTGTGGACCTGGCCATAGAAATGTAAGGCTGGAAGGAACCTCAACATTTTCAGGCACGGTAAGATGAAACTCATGGGATACTGCATTGAATCAGGCCCTATAACTAATGGCATGCTAACCCTTTTGTGGATTCCTGAACAATCTTGAAGGCATGGATAGAAACAATATACTATGAAGTAACTTCCACTGTTATTTCAAATGGCGGCATTTTGCAGTCACTTTGTATAGCTGGAGATGCTAATAGAGGTGAAAAACTGTGGAGTAGCAAGTCCATTTTTTTATGTCTCAGCTATTTCTGAGGTGTCCACGGCACACAAAGCACAAGTTACTCTATTTTTATGAGTGTAAAAAAAAGGGAACCTGAATAGATGAGGTCTTCTGAGGTTCAGTAATATCTCATTCTACCCATATGTCATACCCATCAGAAGGGCTAGTATGTTGTTGGGATTCTGTCATTTTTTCATACCCTTACACACACAGAAAATATTAACTCTTTAGCTCCAAGATCCCCTGGCATCCTCTGTCAAAGGAGTTACTGAATCCCACTGGACAAAGGAAAGAGTAGCTTTTTCAATCGGACCAGTCTGAGGGCTTGTCTCCACTAAGGAGTGGATTGATGCTATAGCAATTGATCCACCAACAACTGATTTAGCAAGTCTAGTAATTCCCACTAAATCAACCACCGATAACTCTACTGTCAACTACGGTATTCCAGTAAAATAAGATGAGTAAGGGGAGTCAACAGGGGAGATTTTTCTGTCAAGCCCCAGCAATGCAGACCCTGCAGTAAATAGCTATAAGCTACTTCGATTAGAATTACACGACTAATGCAACTCAATTGCGTAGCTTAGATTGACTTGTCCTTGTACTGTAGACCTGCCCTGAGTGTTAGAAAAGCTTGTTTCTCCAACTAAAAATGACCCACATTCAATTTTGTACCCAAACTAACCTGAAATTTCATTGCTGTGCATTTGACACATACACAATAACTCCATAGTATTAGCTAGTATATCTTCAAACTAAAACTAAAAATCTAAATGTTTACAAATATAGCGGGCAAGTGGTTATGTTGCTCTCCTCAAACAACACTGCTGCTTTAAGTAAGAGTTAAATTCAGTCATGGTTATATATGTGCACTTTATAATACATTAAAGATTGGACTCCAATCAAAGAGATCAAATTCAGATCTGCATTTCCTAAAGATACAAGGATGTAAAGCTCAATGGTTCTGGTTTGGGTACATGTACCGCTGATAGTATTTCAAAAGGATCTATAGCGTAGACGTCAGTCCCAACACATTTAATTTAAGAAATATACATCTTTGGCATTACTCTTTTATCATAAAGTTTTATTCTTCATAAAACATTCATTTCCCCAGACTCATAAACTGACTACTTCTAATTCAGTGTCATTTTATAAATACTTCCACTCCTGGCATCAATCAAATGCAGCTGGCTTCCGAACCAAAAAACAGCTTGCAACATTATCATGTTAAACAATATATATTAACTTATCAAGTTGCAGAACAAATGTCTTCAAAATCAGCAATTTTATAGTTCTGCCGATGATTTGAAGATATTCACGTTAAGTTCTTTTCCTCGGTAAAGGAATTGTAGCTGCCATGCTATATTTCAATATTCCAGCTTTATTTGTTATACCCTGGCAATTTTGTTACTAGAAACCTCTCCTTGTACCTCCTAGAGTTGCTCATTGATTAGATATATTTTTCACCAACCAGTTAATTGCTCCAAAGACTGCAGCTATCAGTCTGCTGATTGTTGATTTGGCCTACACTTTGTTTTAGAAATATTAGTGAATAACTTCCCTGAGGTGCCAGAAAGCAAAGGCTTTCACAATGCATGCACAGTGTTGTGGCAAGTAGAACAGATGTTTTCTTAGGAAAAGCTCTTTGACATTTTGTAATTTACCTTTCAATAACCTTTCTTTCTTTGTCAGATGCCAGGAGAGTATCTGATACATTTGAGTTGACAGAGAAAACTCCTATTAACACAGAATTATTTTTGGTTCAGCTACCAGATGGGTTGAGGGCCTTTACTTCATTACCAGTCATCTCATGTGCAGTTACCTTGGGGGGTCATTATTATACGCCTTGTCCTAACCTAGTTGTGCAGTTACTGTATTTTGTCATGTATTAGTTAAAGTTACTGCTAAGTAATGCAGTCAAGCTTTATATAATTAAATTGAAAAGGTTGCCTGAGTGATATAGGCTTCATAACATGAATTGTGCAATATTGTTTTAGAGTGTTATTTACAAGTTCTTATTGCAAAATTTATGGAGATAGGTTAAAGTGTGAAGTATCTTTTCCTTCCATCAACCTCCCGCCATGTAGACAGAGATTTAAGATACGTTGACTCCAGCTACGTAATTTATATAGCTAGAGTTGTGTATCTTACTTTGATCTTTCCATGTAGTCTTTGCGACACAGTTTCAAAAATAGCTTCTAAATGTGGGCACAACATTTAGAAACCTGCCTCCTGATTTCAGAGGGTCTGATGTCAAATGAAGTTACAGCACCTATAAAAAAATATCAGGCCATACATATTGTATACATGGGGTATTATAAAATTATCCTGAATTTTTATGTTCCTTGGCATATTTTGCCCTATAGGTTCTTGTGTGGGATCGTAAAAAGGAGTATAACTTAGTAATTAAAGAACAGATATTGAACTGTTTGCTGACAGTGAAAAAGACAACTTTTCAGTCTTTATCCAGCACTCCTTGTAAATTAACATCAGCCTCTCTGTATACCAACAACAGAAAACAGCTAAGCATTAGGGCCCTTTATACACAAAACTAGAACAGAAAAGAGAAGGAGATAAAGGACAAAATCCAAAGTGTGGCAAGCATCTCCGCCATGCTTTCCATTAATTGCTGAAGAAATAAAGCAAGTCTTGGAAAACAGAACAGAGAAGGATACTCTGCTGCCTGCTAAACTCATCATAACTAATTGCATGTTTGACTGTCAATTTGCACTTTAAAGAAAACAAGCCCCAGGGAAGCAAAACAAATGTAAGAAGAAAGGTCTATTACATCGCCAATCAAGTACATTTGAATTGCAACTGCAAATATTAACTTATGGCTGTTATTAAACTCGGAGGTCTTACTCTATAGAGATGTTTAGTAAGAATTAATGAGTTCAGTCTTCTAGCATATTTTATATTTTTTTAGGGCAATTATTTCTAACCCTTGCTTTATGTTGTCTATTTACATGGCTGGCAAATGCAGGACAGTTACAAAATCAGAGTGTCTTGTCTCCGCAACACTAGTCATCACTTTGGATAGGACAACAAATCACAGGTCAGTCAAAATGACTAGATGGACTGGTGAAGTTTCATTGGTAGCCTATAAAATAACTGGTCTTGGACTCAGGCTACATCTAGACTGCAGGCTTCCTCAGGAAGAAGCTTTTCTGGAAGAGATCTTCCGGAAAAACTTCTGTCGAAAGAGAGCGTCTACACTGCAAAAGCACAACGAAAAAGGAATGTGTTTTTTCAAAAGATAGCATCCAATCAATGTGGACGCTATCTCTTATTTAAGTTGTGATTATTTTGGATGGAGTGGCCACCAAGGCACCTGTGATTTTTTCCTGGCAGCCTCTTTTTAAAAAAAATCCCTTTTCCACATCCACACACGCCTTTTTCCAAAAAAGCTTTTTCGGAAAAAGGCTTCTTCCTCATAGAATGAGGTTTACTGCCATTGGAAAAAAGTCCCCCATTCTTTCGACTTTCTGTTGTAAGAATGCAATAGAAGTGTGGATGTCAGTATTGTTTTTTTCCGGAAAAGCGGCCGTTTTTCAAGAAAAACTCTGCAGTGTAGACTCATCCTCAGAGAGGGTAGCCATGTTAGTCTGTAACTTGTATCATGAACTTTCAAGGGCAAAACTCTTTTCATCAGATTCATCAGGAGTAGGGCAAGAACTGATACTGGGAGGTCTTGAGAAATGTGTGCTGGAGTGATGGACCCTATCCTGCATGAAACTAGCGCACAATGCATCCAGCCAGCTGACGTGTTAGTGCAAAGGGTGGTTAGTGCAAAGGGTGATCCCTTCCCATGTCATGCAGCTGCATATGGCAGGACAGAATCTGGTCCATGCCTTGATAAAAATCTATCCCAGCTCTGCCTAGACTGAACAATGTCTTTCGAGCTGAACAATTTTACAGCCAATACATTCTATCACAGGTACTTCTACCTCATGGGATTTGCCATGTTGTTTGCTCAGTTCCTGTGGCAAACTAGAATTACCTGCAATAATTCAAAGTTGATGCCAGACATTTATAAGCAGTTTAAGTGCAGATGCAAACTTTATAGTCTAGAACTGCTAAACGCAGAGCTTGCTAAAAAAACAAATGTGTTCTGCTAGGTTTTCACCTTGACACTGTTTAGCAAGCCAAATGTTTTCCCCAGCTCTTCTTGGACCTGTCTTTAATATTTTTCCCATTATTTTTCTCTTTGCCTATTCACCAGGCATCATAGTTCTCAACTACTGCAATCCAAATTGCTAAGAGAAAGCAAATTTAAAACAGTGCCAATAAATAAGCCCTGCTGTAAGTTTTATATGCACAAATACCTGCAAGAAATTATCGTGTAAGTGAAGATTCTCCCAAGCTTCAATGTAGAAAATAAGTGTAATAAAATTAGAGTAATTAGTTAACTTACATTAAAAAAAAACCAACAACCCCAAACAGCAATATTCCTTAATTTTACCTCATGATAAAGCTGGAAGAAATCTTAAAGTACATGGAGAAAAAACAAATATTTTAAAGAATTTAGAGTTTACAAAACATGACAGCCAACTATTGTGTCTCATAAAATGTGAGCGCCAATAATTAGGGTTCACAAAATATAAAAGCCATTAATTCTGTTTGGGTTTTTTTAAAGATATTTGCCTCCCTCAATCAATTTTCATCTTCCTCTCACTCCAACTCTATCATGAATAGTTATCATTTTGCATATTTACTGGATTAACGATAGAAACAGTGATGGATTCTCCTTTTTTCCCCCTTAAGCAAGAAAATAGCCACCCATTTTCTCTGCACAGACACACCCAGATGAAGGAAGGCTGATAGTGGCTAGTGCACTCACTTAAAATGGAACGTAGGTCCAAGCCCTTGCTCTGAATTAACCAAAGCAGGGACATGAACTTGGATGTTCTCTTGCTCAGTAGACATTGGTGGCTTTTTTTCCTAAGGCCTAGACCTTAGAAGTATTTAGACACGTAACTCCCTCCGGGTATGTCTACACTACCCTCCTAATTTGAACTAGGAGGGTAATGTAGGCATACCGCACTTGCAAATGAAGCCCGGGATTTGAATTTCCCGGGCTTCATTTGCATGAAGCCGGCCGGCGCCATTTTTAAATGCCGGCAGTTCGAACCCCGTGCCGCGCGGCTACACGCGGCACGGAGTAGCTAGTTCGGATTAGGCTTCCTAATCCGAAGTTCGGATTAGGAAGCCTAATCCGAACTAGCTACTCCGTGCCGCGTGTAGCCGCGTGGCACGGGGTTCGAACTGCCGGCATTTAAAAATGGCGCCGGCCGGCTTCATGCAAATGAAGCCCGGGAAATTCAAATCCCGGGCTTCATTTGCAAGTGCGGTATGCCTACATTACCCTCCTAGTTCGAATTAGGAAGGTAGTGTAGACATACCCTCTGATACTTCTGAGGATTTGTGCCTGAGATTCTCAGAATCTAACTCTCTGGGCTCTTTTAAAGATATGACCCTAATTTTCAATATTATGCAGTACAAAACTGGCCCGACACCTAGCTGCCAATGGCCCCTTGAAGCCATTAAGACAGCCTGGGATCACAACAGTGCTCCGGACACACACTTTTACAGAGCCACAACCCACAGGCTAGGGACTGGGAGAGGTTTGGCATACAGGTGTTTTGCTAGGCCGTTGTCAGTCAGGTTGTGTCCTTACATGAAAGGAATCCCTAAGCGAGCTAACAAACCATCTTTATGGCTGCATTTCAAGAAGAAAACATACTATAACTGAAGGTTGGGTCTAATGAGATGAAACTGATTATAATAAGAGTTAAAAGAGGGGAATGTCAAATGTGCTTTCATTTTTTTAAATTCTTTTGTTTTCTTCAAAGTAGTTGAAAAGAAAAGAACAGCAACAAGAGCAGCTTCTTTGATCCCAACAACACCTTGCTTGTTGAAAAAAATCAAAATCAAAATCTAGAGATGGAATCGGGAGACCCCAACACTCAGACCATGTTACAAAACACGGTAAAATCCAATTTTTTGACATTTGCAATGTTGTGGTAGCTGTGTTGGTCTAATGGTCTATGTAGGCCCCTGAGCAAAGTGTGGGGGGGTCCAGCTCCATGATCCTGGAATGGATGGGCCTTGGGCAGAAGGGGTGGGAGCAGCACACCTGGAGTGCAGCATGTCCCCCCTCCCCCAGCCCTCAGAGCTGCACAGGGTGCATAGCACTCCAGCAGCAATTTAAAGGGCCCAGGGCTCTGGCTGCCCTTGAATTGCTGGGCCCCAGGGAAACTGAGCCCTCTATCTCCTCCATCTGAGGGCCTGGATACGAGAGAGACAAGGTGGACGAGACAGTATCATTATAGGACAACTTCTTTGTTGTCTCGGCTTTTTCAGTTTCATGGCGGTCTATTTTACTAACAATCCCAACTACACTATCCTGCATGTGTATACTCTGTTTTAGAGCTAGCCATTTTTCCAAGCACCAAAACCACTTGTGAATTCAGCAAATAGTTTTAGCCAACCCTCCACTCCCAAAACATGCATAGCAAATTTCAAAAATGACAAAACGATTCAACATTTCTTTTTTTTTAATTGGTGAGGGGAAAAAAGAAAAAAATCAGGTTTGAATCAACTCTTTTTTTTTAATTTTCCATTTCAGCCACTGAACTGTTATTTATTCTGTTCTACTCAGCACAGCTACGTCTAGACTGACGTGATTTTCCGGAAATGCTTTTAACGGAAAAGTTTTCTGTTAAAAGCATTTTCGGAACAGAGCATCTAGATTGGCACGGACGCTTTTCCGCAAAAGCACTTTTTGTAGAAAAGCGTCCGTGCCAATCTAGACGCACTTTTGCAGAAAAAAAGCCCCGCTCGCCATTTTCGCGATCGGGGCATTTTTGCGGAAAACAAATCTCAGCTGTCTACACTGGCCCTTTTGCGTAAAAGTTTTGCACAAAAGGAACTTTTGCCCGAATGGGAGCAGCATAGTATTTCCGCAAAAAGCACTGATTTCTTACAGTAGGAAGTCAGTGCTTTTGCGGAAATTCAAGCAGCCAGTGTAGACAGCTGGCAAGTTTTTCCGGAAAAGCGGCTGATTTTCCGGAAAAACTGGCCAGTCTAGACACAGCCCACTTGTATCAGTATTTCTTCCAGTGTTAAGAACTAAACTTTGACATTTCCTCTCCCCATCCATTCACAATGCTTCATTTTGGTGACAAAATGCAGATTTCAAAATAGCGTATTGTGTTTTGATAGTTTGCACCAGCTAAGAATCTGGCTGACTGGAGTGTAGTATGCAATTTTAATTATTGTCAACTTTTAGGAGATATCTTACATTCCAGACCATTTGTTTGACCTGTGAATGGCCATCAAAGCTTTCTTGCACAAGAGCGTCCATGGCAGTGTGGACACTCTATTGTGCAAAAGCACATCTCTTGTGCAAAAGCATACGGCAGTGTGGACACGCTCTTGTGCAAGAATTTTTTGTGGAAGATCTCTTCTGCAAAAAGTTCTTGCACAAAAAGCCTGCAGTGTAGACGTAGCCACCGAGATGAAATGTAAAAAAATCTACAGAAGTTAATGGTTTTACACCTGTTTAAAATTAGTGTACTTCCAAGAGTGATCTGACCTGATCATTTAGAAATAAATCATCTTCTCGTATCATCAGGCCCCGTTTTCTGGAATCTCGACACACTATTTTACTCTAAACTACCATTTCATAGTCAAATCCTATTAATCTGATCTGCAAACAAACATCTAAAGCCCATGTGCTGATAAGTAACAGCCACAATCCAGGTGGACGTCCTGCCTCTGTTCTAGTTAAACTGTTTATCTGTGACCAATGGGAATTGTAGGGCAGGCATCAGGTCAATGTGATGACAAAGATTCCCTATGTCTAGGGGCCAAAGGAACCTAGTGGCCACTTCTGAGGGCCTCATGACACCAAGGCTGGTAGAGAAACTGTCTTAGCCCTGGACCCACCACTAAATTTCCGAGTTTTTAATGACCCACTTGACAGTGTCAACTGTAGCCACCATGGTCTCTCTTTGACCGGGTGTTCCAGTAAAAAACCAGACACATTGCAGTGGCAACCGTAACAATAACTTGTAATAACAAATGGTGACAGAAAACAGGTCAAGTTGTTTTCAGTAATAAATGTTATGAAAGGGTGCAAAAGAACCAGACAGATTGTAGTAGTTCCAAAATAAATAAAAATAAAGGCCACACTGATATCATTAAAATACTATGTGAAATCATGCTTCTTTTCTTTTATCTTTTTTAATAGGTTCAAATGACTTTTAATCTTGTGTTTTCCCTGGTACTGAGTGGCTGAGATCTATATAGCACACCCTGAATCGTGTTAACAGGGTTTCATATTGAACTGTTAACACCATTCGTTCCATCTAAATTAATACAACAGCTCTTTTACCAAGGCGTTTGCCATTTTATCTGAGGAACGTGGTGCTTAGGATGGTTACAATAAACTAAACCAATGGCTGGGCCAGAACTAGTAATGCCTTTGTAATTTCCATGGGGCAGATGGCTAAATCAGTTCAATTTACAAAGAGTGAAACTGAATGTACATTATATTTGAAAAAGTGGAACTTTATTGGAGCCTATACATTCCTCTGTGCCTGTGGCTTATTTGCCTTCAACCTAACAGCCTCCATTTCCTCTTTTTCCTGGTGTTTCATCAATAACACTCCCTCCATAGAACGGGGACCCCCTGAGTCCAGTTCCATTGATCACATATAGCATCTAGACACAAACTAGCAGCAGGAAGGAGCAGATTGTGTTGCCTGTTCCCTGCACTGTGTTCAGAAAGCTTCACAGGCGGGGGGAAGAGACAGGCATGAATTAGCATGTCCACTTGCAATTTCAAAGGTAAAACTGTCCAATGTAAATGCCTGTTAAACCCACACACCTGCTGGATGTGGTTCACTGTTCCAAGTAGTGGCAATTAGGTCACTTATAGAGAGAAAGAATGAGTTTGCTCTTCTGCCTTACCTGAGAGCCAGTTGGCTGTATAGCTCATCCTGTAGAAAAGCAGTGGGCAATAATTTTTGCCCTGGGGCTACTTCAAAAATGTTCCCACTAGGCACCCATGCCCTGGAAGATGCTTGGCACATTCCCCCACCCTCAGACCAATCAGAGCCTGGGGGCGAGGGAGCACATGAAGCCTCCTCCGCTCTCCCCACCACACCCTGCAAGCAGCATGCTGCACTTCCAAGCACCACGTGCTGCTCACAGGGTGGAAGGAGGCTTTAGGAGCTCCCCTGCCCTCAGGCCCTACTTGGCTTGGGGGCGGGGGAACAGCAGGCCCTCCGTGGGCCAGATCCATCTGCTTGGCAGGCTGCATCCAGTCCACGGAGGTCCTTTTGCCCACCCCTGCTGTAGAGGCTCATGCACTAAGCTCCAGAGTGCCCTGGTTAGGTTCCATCTGTTTACATCAAAATCACAGCCCCAACTCAATCCCTTACATTTTGGAGCGTTTTGGAGCAGCAGAAGATGAAGAGCGTTCCAAGCTATTTCTCAGTAGCAGAACTGAGGTTTATTTGGAGGAAATCAGCATGCTGAAGTCTTAGTATCCATGCCTGAGCTCCCTGGGCAAGTCAGCAGATTTTTATTTCAAAGCTATTAACAGTAAAATCTCACTAAATAAATTAGCTGCTTAAAGAACCTGCTGTCTGATTTTTAAAATAAGTCTTTTAAGCTACTGGTTGGAATGCAAAGTTCAAATACACCTCTATATATACAAAATGAATAAAGCCTGGTCAGTTATATGAACTTCCATGAGAAGAGAGTCATTGTTCTATCCTGTATGTAGTCAACCTCTCAACCCAAAGTCTGGAGTCGATAGGTGACCATTCTCTGAAGAGATGCGCAACACCAATATATAGTGCTTCACTTGGTTCCTTTCCCATGACTTGATGAGAAGGTCTTTCTTATGCTCAGAGGATGACAAGAATTGCATAAAGTTAATGCAAGTGCTCTCCACCTTAAAGGAGAGGAGAGGCAGAAGGTCCATGACCCACCCAACTCTTCACACATGTCATACAGCAGAGAGGAGCATACTGCTCCAGAGGCCACATCCCCAGCTTTGCTCCAAGAACCACCATGCTCAACACTGATACTGGTCCCTATAGAGACGCATTATGGCCCGTATGTGGCACTGACAAATGGCAGAACACAGCTGTGGCATTCTAACTTCCTTGGGAGTGATGCATCTTATGAGCTAGGAACCTTAAATAACAAACCAAGGTCCTTTAATTTACCTTGGAATTGATTTACTCCTTATGCCCAAGCAGAGAAAATATAGGTACTGCAAAGACGCTGCATATCATAAAATATCTATGCTATTGATTGTGCAACTCCTTAAAATAAAATTAATAATTAAACACTGAACTGCACTATTGATATATTATTGAATGTTGAAAGGCGGTAAGAGATCAAAGAGTTGTGTACAATTAGCAATCATTAAAACATTGTCTGGTTTAAATAAATACGCACATCTTCTGTGCTCGGGCCCACAAAAATAAGTATAGTTAAATGCTTTAAATTAGCAATGACAACAAATGATAGTAAACGGATACAGTTCCAAATATTCAACTTTTCATTAATTTCAGCTACCCAAGTCTCCACCTTGTCTACATTTAAGTCCAAATTAAAGACTCACTTCTTTGATGCCGTTGACAGTGAAGTGAATTGTACTGTATATGAGAAATCCCTTGTACTCCTTTTCTTAGCCTCTCTCCACCAGATAATCTGTCATTAAACTGTACATTCCTAATGGCAGGAATCATCTTTTCTTGAATCTCAAGCAAGCACCTAGCTTATCACAGGGAAAATTTTCAACCCATATCAACTGTTCTAGTTTCATTGACTGGGGTCCAGGAAGGACTGGACACGACTCAATATTAAAATCATGCCTTCAACAAATAAATGACTTCAATATATTTTACACTATCTGAGGATCCGTCCTGTGAGCACAAAATAAACAGTCCTTAATCCAGCTTCCAGTGAAGAAAATGGAAAATGGAGCAGATTTGGGTCTATACTGAATAATAAACATTTTCATTTTCTCTTTCTCTTTTCAGACTTTGGGCAATATATGAAGTTCTTAGTAATATTTGTAATAATTTTGAAGACAGCATCTCCATACAATTTATGGATTAAAATAGGGATGGGGAACCTTTTTTGGGTTGGGGGCTGCTAACCTATAGAAAAATCAGTCGGGGACCACACACAAGTGAAAAGAAAAACAAACAACCCCTGTAGTGCCTGACTGAGGAGGAAGGAACTCCCCACATTCCGCTTGCAAACCAGAGCTGAGGCAGACTCAGGCTAGTAGATTTTGTGTGCTCCAGCCTCAGAGGGGTAGCGGTGGGACTGGAGCACCAGTGCAGGCTCCCCAATGCTGAGGGGAAGCTTCAAGCCTCAGGGGCCAGATCTAGGCAAGCCAAGGGACGTATCTGGCCCCTGGGCCTTAGTTTCCCCGCTCTTGGGATGTGTCTAAACTACATGGCTCCATTAATGGAGCCATGTAGATTAGGTAGGATGGCAAAGGGAAATGAAGTGGCGATTTAAATAATTGCCGCTTCATTTAAATAAAAATGGCTGCCGCGCTGTGCCGATTAGCTGGTTGTCGGCACAGCAAGGCAGTCTAGATGGGGATCTGCCAACCCCAGAACCCTTCGTCAGCAGATCCTTTATGCCTTGTGAAATAAGGCTTGCAGGATCTGCCAACGAAGGGTTCTGGGGTCGGCAGATCCCCGTCTAGACTGCCGTGCTGTACCGACAATCAGCTGATCAGCACAGCGCGGCAGCCATTTTTATTTAAATGAAGTGGCAGTTATTTAAATCGCTGCTTCATTTCCCTTTTTCGAGTAAACTCCATCGACGGAGCCATGTAGTTTAGATGCACCCTTGGATTAAAATGTGTGACAGCATACCCTTTCAGGCTATATTTGTTCTCAACTATAGATGTGAAAGTAGCCCTATGAAACACTATTCTAGTTTTAAACGGTATCAAATGGCAGTATCAAATCCATAACCGTTTGAAAAAGGATTTTTCTAGGCAAGACAGCCGATAGAAAAACCAAGGACGCTATATGGTCTTGTGATTTATCTGTTTCTTTCCCCACTGGTTTATTTGAAATCTTGAAGGCTGTGAATTTGAACTATAAGCCTTCAAACTAGTCATTCAAGTAACTCAAGGTCAATATTCAAGTATCTCGCTTAGCCTTTTAGATAGTTGCTGCTAGTATCTTTCCTTGACACTGCCATGCAATTAGATGAGATCGTTTTTATACATTCCGACATGAGATGTATATAATTCATGAGAACAGGAAAAGAAGGTTTCCATCAGAACAATCTCCTTATGGAGGATGACTTTTCTCACCATAAACTCCTTCAGAAAAATTGAACCTGATAATTGTTAGAAGTTATTGACTTTGATGGACTTTTAACTCACTTATTTTATATCTGTTTATCCACAAAGAAGGACCATCCAGTGACTGTGATGATATAATAGTGTGCTACAATGATTTATATCTATGGATTAAATGTCACATTTGAAAAATAGTACATTAAATCATGTATTTATGTCACCCTTTGAAAACCAAACAGAAGATAGGCCAAACTGTATCAAAGTCAAATGAAGTTATAGATACATTTTGGTGATGTTACAAAAACAAAAACAAAACAAAACAAAAAAAAACAAAACCACACACACACATTAAACTGCTGTGTTTAGAACCTTAGCAGAACTGAATGTAATAGTATTTTATTCTAATGTACTGCTTTAAATAAAAAGATTTAATAGGCCTGGTTCTGATGTCCTTTGCACTGTGTAGCTCCACTGCCTTAAGCTGAGTTACTTCTGTTTTTCAGCAGTATGAAATCACGGTTAAGTCACAGTTTAATTCGCATTAGTAAGTAGAAAGCAATACATTTTTTAAAAGAATTTCTCAATAATTGTGAGCAAACTTTCCTGGCATAAAAGCTCCCCATTGAGATAAAGTAAAAGCAAATGAAGAAAAATAAACCCATGAAAGTGTCAGCAAAGCGTGTTTATTCATAGTAGGGAGAGCTTTTCTCAGTAGCCAATTGATGTTGAGGCGGTGAGATTGCCAAAAGGCAGAAAACTGCAGCTGTCAACAGTCCAGCATGGTGTGACATGTTACTATGTGGTATCATCACTTAAAATAAGCACGAAAGAAGATGCTGACCTCCTGGTTATTTTACTGAATGCGTGATGCTGAACAAACACAATCCTCAAGTCTACTTTTCTGGCACATCATTTTAGGTAATAAAGCTTCACACATAACTTCCCCTATAGTCCCACAAACCATATAGCTCTATGCTATGTTAAAGACAAGAAACAGCTTGATTCCTTGATAGGATTTTGTTTGAGAATGAGAAGTGTTAGCTTCCACTAGAAAGTTACAGATGCACTATAATTTTACTAAGAAATTTTTGTTGGGAAAAGCAGGTCTTGCATAATGCTGATAACTGGAATTGAACCTAGGCCTTCTGGAGCTTAGTGCATGAGCCTCTACTATTTGAGCTAAAAGCCAGCTGGTGCTCAGCTAGGGCTATCGAGCAAACTCATTTTCTCTTTCTGTAAGTGGCCTATGTGCCACTACACAGGAAACTATGCTACATTCAAACGGTGTGTGGGTCGCACTTGCATTTGCCTTAAACAGGGAAGGATCTTTTGCCAATAAGCCACTTTAGCTTTATGTTACTAATCTCCATAAAGCACTAAAGTTATTGACTCAGTTTCACATGCCATGGGATATCCTTGGCTACTGAAAAGTAATCCCTCCAGCTATGCTATTGAATCAAAGTCACTAACAGGAAATAAAATGATTTCTTACAAGTTCTTTTATCATAGAAATTGAGATTGTTCAGCACCAGTTTCAGGCCCCAAACAAATACACAAAATTAATTTTATCCCACTCACTTCTAAAGGTTTTACACTGTTTTAAAACATTAAGCATCCTTCGGACTTCAGATCACAGTGGAGTGTGCTAAGTAATGATTACAAAATTATTACTACTAGGAATGTGAACTATGATGCTAAAGCACTTATGTCTTTTGCATTGATCTTGTGCAGAGAAATAAAACATGACATGACAGTTGCTAGAATATGTAAGTTGCCTATGTCAGCCAGAGTGGAATACATGCATCATGGTGCCTGCAGTAATGTGTCTGCCAAAATTCTCTTTTTCCAATGCTTGGATAATGATTCTCCAGGTGGCACTGAAGCCTAAAACAATTTTTAATGCTGGAAGCAACATTCTCACCTAGCTGCTAAGCTAAATAAAATGAAAGTGCTGAAATTCTTCTCAGTCACAGTCTATAAACCTGGATTTTCTTTTGTAAAATTAGCAGACAGTGGATGATACACATAGTACCACTGGAGTTTCTAACTCAATTTACCCCTCCTAATGTCAGTTTGTAATATCACAGATTTTGTAGCCCACTTATTAAACGACTTTGCTATGCTAACTCCAACAGGGCACTTAAAAGAATCAGAGGAAGAAATTCACAAATGTCCGACCTGCATTTTACTTTACAGAATCTAGTGGATGAGTCTGCATATTGTGCCTTCTCTACATACAACCCCACTTTTTTAGCATGAACAACAGTCCCCAAGAGAGCAGCAAAAAAGGTTGCTCCATGAATAATTCAAAAGGATCTGAGGTATTATTATAGCTTCTTTTGGAAATACCCTTTTAAAATAATTATTTGTTCTCTAATGTTCCTGGGCAAAACACAATTCAGCCCACTATTTTGTGTAGTAGGCATAACATGATGGTCCATTGTGACTTGATGGAACTCCAGTGAAATGGTATTGGTGCACAACATGCCAGAATTTCAGTGAAAAGAAAACATGGAAATAAATATGTTCACAATCTGAGCATATTTTATATGAAGTTTCCATGTATACATAGTTTATAATGGGCCAGTAAGTGATTAATGGAAGCTATAAACATGAGTAGCATGTATTACTGATGGCAATTAGCAAATCAGTTGAACATGATATATAATTATAATCTGGTGACCTCTTGGATTCTATAATAATAAGAATTTATTAACCATTTATTAACAACCATTACTCATTTATTAACCATTTATAAGCTGTTTGTGCATGCAATATACAGTAAAACTCCATTAGTCCGGCACCCAATACTCCAGAACTCCTGATGGTACCGGACCCGGAAGTGCTCGGGGCAGCCAGACAATTGGAGCTGCTCTGCGCCCGGCTTCCCCGATTCAGACGCTGCTAAAACTGACCAGCAGCTGAATTAGGGAAGCCGAGGGCAGAGCAGCTGGGGTGCTGCCAGGTCGGTCCCGTAGTGCTGCCCCTCGGGGCTGCAAGACCAACCCAGCAGTACCCCAGCTGCTCTTGGGGATGCCTGGAGCAGAGCAGCTGGAGTGCTGCTGGGTTGGTCCCGCAGCACTGAGGGGCAGCACTACAGGACCAACCCGGCAGCATCCCAGCTACTCTGCCCCAGGCGCCCCTATTCAGCCGCTGCTGAAGCTGACCAGTGGCTGATACCAGGAAGCTCAGGGCAGAGCAGCTTTGCCCCGGGCTTCCTGGAGTCAGCCACTGATCAGTTTCAGCAGCGGCTGACTCTGGGATGCCTGGGGCAGAGCAGCTGGGGTGCTGCCAGGTTGGTCCTGTAGCATCGCCCTTCAGCACTGCGGGACCAACCCAGCAGCACTCCCCAGGCATCCCCAAGAGCAGCTGAGGTGCTGCCGGGTTGGTCTCACAGCGCCGAGGGGTGGCACTACCGGACCAACCCGGCAGCACCCTAGATGCTCTGCCGCAAGCGTCCTCGATTCAGCCACTGCTGAAACTGCTGAAATGGATTATCAAATATGCCGGACTATCGGAAGGGGGGGCTACGAGCGGTCTCTTGTGGCATACCTCCCACCCCACCCCAGACCCATCATAGCCCCCCCTTCTGATAGTCCGGCATATTTGATAATCCGGCACCCCCTGGATCCTAAACGTGCTGGATTATCGGAAGTTTACTGTACATATAACCTTATTATAAAGTATGACACACAATTCTCTTCCTTACCCCAGTTATTCAGCTACTTCTACTAAGCTTATATACAGATAAAATAGAAATATAGAGTGCTCACATTAGGAAGCAAACATTTACTTGTCTTCTTTTTTTTAGTATGCCATAGAGAAATACCTACCAGTATGTGATATTATAAATGTTGGTTTACAACAGTGACCACTGTGCTGTGAATTGTGATGCAATCATATTAAGTAATCACATGACCTAGGCAACCTAATAATTTAAAGGTTAGCAATATATATGCAATTAAAACCAAGAATTACTTGAACATACTGTACTGAAGCAAAGATAAGCATGTTTGCATAAGCGCTTCATGTGTTATTCTGTGACATGATTGCACTCTGTGTAATGTCTAGCAAGATGCACTGTACAGGCAGTCCCCGGGTTACGTACAAGATAGGGACTGTAGGTTTGATCTTAAGTTGAATCGAGATGGATGTCCCTGTGGGTGCTGCACCTTAGGTGCTTCAGTGCCGATGAGCCCAGGACAGCTATCGTTTACATCAGTACCCCTGGCGTACAGAGGGAGCCGGTGTGTGTTCTATATAGGCTACTGCGCATGCACGACCTTCTTTCGCTCCGCTCCCCGCCCCCGCTCCTCAGTTCCTTCTCTGCCCTGGAGATGATGTATCTTGAAGCAGAGGGGAGGAAGAAGGGTGGTGGAACACCCATGGGGACAACCATCTCGAATAACTCTAGTTACTGCACAGGTGAGTAACCTCTCTTTCTTCTTCGAGGACTGTCCCCGTGGGTGCTCCACCATAGGTGATTATGAAGCAATGTTCGTATGAGGAGGTGGGAGTTTCGGATACTGAGATTATGAGGCCGTGAGTATTGTGTGGCCAAACTTTGTGTCCATGTCTGCAAAAGTTTGCAGTGCGTAATGTCGTGTGAAAGTGTGTATTGAGGCCCATGTTGCGGTGCTACAAATGTTTTCCATCGAGACTCCTCATAGAAATGCTATCGTGGCTGCCATTGCCCATGTCGAGTGGGTCCGTACAGTTGTTGGTAACTCTTTTTGGGCTATGGCACATGCTAGTTTGATGCAACTAGATATCTACTTTGACAGTCTTTAATTTGATATAGACAGTCCCTGCAACTTCTCTGTTGAAGAGATAAAGAGACGTGGAGTTTTCCTAAAGGGCTTAATCTGTTACAAGTAAAATGCTAATGCCCTGTGGCTATCCAAGGTATGGAGAGCTGCTTCTTTGTTGTCCTTGTGTGGTTTAGGGAAGAAGACAGGTAAGTATATGGGTTCGTTACAGTGGAATTCGGTAAGTACTTTGGGGAGCAATTTGGGGTGGGTTCTAAGCATGACCTTATCCTTGTGGAATATAGTGTAAGGTGGGTCTGCTGCTTGTAAGGCAGAAATGCTGAATAGATGAAGATTTGAGTAAATTTTAAGGCCTGCCACCTGTAATGGAGATAAGTGATGTAATATAGCACTATGTACTCTTGTCAATGCTGTGTAGAATTGTAAATTGAAGAAAAATGTTTGTAAGACCATTAATAAGGGAAAAGCTGTTTAAAATGTAGTTTTCCAAAATGGAGTCCAAAACTCCATTTTGTACCTGGAACTTTCCAGATTTGTCTTTTACAATTGGGTATGGCATAGAATGTGCAGGTAGAATATTTGAGTTCAAAACCTGAGCTACCTGTCAGTTAAATTTGCATAAACATGAATATGTATGAGCATTCCTATTAGCCAATCAATTCAAACCACGCTGGAAAAGCATCCTTGCCATGTCCAAATCAGTTTAAAACATCTAGATAATGAATATGCATGAAACCACCCTATATAAGTTTGGACCGAACGTCAGTTCGTGCTGGTTCCCGGACGTAGCTGGGGCCTGCAGCATCGTGGGTTTCGTCGGGTTAGTAGAGCATCCTAGCCTGGGCTCTTTTCAGAAAAATACCTGGATGGTATTTTTCATATATAGAAACTTTTGGTATCTTAATGGTACTAGGTATCCTTGTGGTATCGAACATCTTTATGGTGTTCTAACCTTCTTCCTTGGGTTACATGACGGAAGGTCATTCCCACTTTTAGTTTAGTGTAGTTTAGTTCTTAGAATAGGATAGATCTCCCATGTGTCAGCGACAGGTGCGTCGGTCAACGTAAGGTCGGCCGTCATCGTGTTTGTTCGACGGGCGCATCGGAGGAGTGTAGGATTTTATTTTAGGATTAGAATAAGTTAAGTACAGAGTCTATCATCGCTGGTTCGAGACGCTACCGAAGAGCGTGAAAAGGGCTGATGAGAAAATGATCCGTGGAAGACGAATCGCCGGTCGTCGTTCCCAATTCCTGTCTTCGTGGGACTATCCTGCCTCGAGTCGCCCGACGAGGGATCGCCTGGTTGTTCCTCGCCCGAGGCTCTAAAACAGCCAAAGGCTTGAGGTCACCAGCTTCTGCTCCACTATCGTCGAAGACTCTGGTAATATTCAAGGATTTGAGGGGACTTCCCCTTCTTATCCTTTAGGTTATTGTAGAATGGGGACTGCTCCCAGGTTAATGTTAAATCGAGATATTGTGTTTTGAAATTTTACTTTGTCAAACAATATAGTCCTGTTGTTATCAAATTTATACCTGGACTTATGTTTTTATTCATTGCGGCTTTGCACTTTAAAACGGTGAATAGATACGGATAGAGGTCCAACCTGTTTTACCATCCCTAGAGGATTGGGAAGTGCCGAGCACTTCTCTGAGGATTGCCCTCTTACACCTTTGGCATCCTTGATCTGTTGGTACTTATTAAAAGTATTCACGTAACAAAAGATATGAGTGATCATATCTGATATATATTTATCTTGGACCAGATTCTGATTTTACTTCCACACATTGGTTTCACACAGTTGTCAGTCTATACACCTCAGCAAAATTATTTCTGATTTACACCAATGTAAATGAGACTAACATTAGGGTTTTTGTTCAAACTGATATTTATACTAGCTGCCACTCCATGGTCACTGTGCTCCCTCCATTTGTAATATGCTAACTAAAAATGGAAATAAAAATGAGGTACAGGAAATACAAAGTACACCTCTGGCCCCTTCAGCCTCTGCATCCTTTATAAATCATTCAGGGATGTGGTTTTATCAATCCATCCTCTATAAAGTGTCCTATAAACCTGTAATTCTATATACATTTTTTAAAATCCCCAAGTGCTAGTATCTTTTGATAAATCCAGAGTTTTTTCTTCTTTTTTTCACTTTGAGTACTATGGAAATTCACTTTATTGTCAGTACTAAAAACTATAATGGTCTGGTGATCAAAGAATCATTACAGAAATAGATAATCCCAATGTAAGTTTCCCCTTTTGCTCTGCACTGGATTGTTTAACAAATGATTCATTACCATGCCATATTTAACACCTGACTCTCTGACAAAGATGATAGTGTGGCTGTTGTGGGGTTCTTCCCCCTGCCTGGGATACTAGGAACTAATTTGAGACTACAAATTTCCTTCACACAGGCCACCAAGCAATGACTGAAATCTAACTGGTATTGGCATGAGGTGGATTTGAACCAGCAATCCCAGAGATAAAAGGCAACACAGGTAATTCTCTGTGCCATTCACTCCTCTACGGTTCTGCATCTAAAAAAAGCATACAACTTCCTCTTCACTTTCACCAGAGTTGAAACACCGAAAGATTTTTCAGGGATCCACAATACAGCGTAGTAAGCACAAAACATTCAAAGCAATATTAAATGCATATACAGCACTCATACTGTTCCTTTTAGGCTGCACTAAACTAAAAGCAATTAGAACAGCAACCAAAAATGGCTCTGCTGAATGATATACCATAATTATTATACAAAAAAGGAGCAAAACATCATTTTCTCTGCAATTCTGAAACTACATAACAATGCAGTTGTAAATACTGGAAGCTGATATGACATTGCGACATACAAACAAAACTGTTATGTTAAAATGGTGCAATTTCACAACTATATTGTCTAAAAGTGGCTGCATGATTTCTTCACACTGTTTATTGAACTGTGTGTGAGAGAGAGAGAAAGACCAACAGAACTGTAACAAAACCACAAAACATTACATATTGATAACCCCATTACTAAAGTCATTACAACAACTAGTGTAATTTAGAACTCCATTCTAAACCTTAACATGGAAATATTTACAGAAAATGAATAATTATCGCTAATCAAAAACAGTTAGTTAATATGATTTCACCAATGTACATGCAGAAGGGAAACAGACACACACACACACACATACAAGAATTACAGACCTCTTCCCCCATGGAAAACTACTTTGGTCTTTATTTGGCATAATCTTGGAGCATTCTAGCATAGCCTTATGTTATCCTGGAATGTTTTCCTGAGTGGTCAATTTCCTGTAGTTTCACAGAATGTTATTTCATTCTCAGTAATGAAACACTTTCACCGGCAAATGAGAACTTCTAGTGTTAGTATACCCGCCGCCCAGCAAAATATGTTTGCTTCGCTGTAAATGGTATCTGTGTCAAAAGTAATAAATTTATGCTTTTGTAACAGAACAAGTGAGACCTTTTAAAAAAGATGGAGATACTTATGCTTGTAACAAAGTTATCACCTTAAAATGCTCTGAGACTGTCTGGCTTGGAACTATAAATGGAACTTCTAAAGTATTCAGGCTCCTAACTTCTTCAGATTTCCATACCATTACACAACTGGGCCAACGGCATCAATGAAAGAAACACACTCCATCCAAAATGGGAGTTAATGTCTATTACACTTGTAAAGTGTGTTTTGCACCTTCCTATAGTGCCTGGTACACAGAGAAAATGACATCCCACTACTACCGTCAGCAAATGAAATGTTACCTTCAGTTAAAATGGGAGAGACCTGTGCTTTGGTGATGAATATACATCAGTCTAAACCTCCTGGTAAGTGTTACTAAACCTTTTGCTGGAAGCACATAGCTGTGCACTTATATAAGACTTGATTCTGCTACCCTTATTCAGGCTCAGTGGACCATATTGCTTTGATATGAGTGGGGGGCATTCCTCTGAATAAGGGATACACCATGCGAGAAATTCTAGTTGCATTGAAGTCAATGGGAATGGACTTCCGTAGGACCAGGAGCTGCTTTTACCCAATGGGAGTAAGGATTGTAGAACTATATCCACAAAAGCTGTTCAAGAATGTAGGAGTGCACTTGTTGGATGAGTGTGGGCTATGGTACTTCCCGCTCCCTGTACATTTTGTAGCAAGGGAAAAAACATTGTGGCCCTGGGCATTGGATCATGTTCCATAACTCTGTGTGTGTCTTCGGTACATCTGAGAGACAGAGACCAAAATATTAATGCAAAGATGGTATTAATAAATCTTCTGCTGTGTTTTTGTTAGGTTACTGAAATCTAGTCTGAGTTTTTACTAAAAATTAAAATACAGTGTGTTGTAGCCAGGCTGCAAGATAATGTATTAATCTCTCTTAGGGTATGTCTACACTACCACCTTAGTTCGAACTAGGGTGGTTAATGTAGGCAACCGAAGTTGCAAATGAAGCCCGGGATTTAAATATCCTGGGTTTCATTTGCATCTTGCCAGGCGCCGACATTTTTAAAGCCCCGGTAGTTCAGACTCCGTGCCCGTGGCTAAACACAGCACGGAGTAGGTAGTTCGGATTAGGCTCTCTAATCCGAACTACCATTACTCCTCGTAGAACGAGGTGTACCGGTAGTTTGGATTAGAGATCCTAGTTCGAACTAGGGTGGTAGTGTAGACATACCCTTGGCTAGTTATCTTACCAAAAAATAATAACCAAAGACATTGCAGGAGGTTTCTGTTCTGTCATCATGAACAAGCAAATATCAGGAATACAACTGTCTTTAGCAAAAAAACATGTTTATTATCCCCTAAGAGTGTTATACAAACTCAGAAAAACTTCACTTTTCTTTAGCATTTAAACTCTTTTCTTTTGTGCTATATTTAAAAGATATGGCGTTTATTGAAATTTGTGCATTGTAATATTTAATAGCAGTTGAATTTCTGTAACAAACTGATTATAGCTCTAAGGGCCTTGGGTCAGGAAAAAAACTCTTAAGAGTGTCTTCTCTAGCTCTGGACTTTTTCCTTTTTATTTGAGGCAAGTTAGATTCAATTATAATCCTTATATCAAGGAATCAACTATGTACACAAACGTATTGGGAAGAGAGCTAATTGTGAAAAGGATTGAAGGGTCATTTATTAAAATGATAAAACTACACAAAGAATTCTAGAAATATTCTTGTTGACATAATACAATGAATCAGAACTTTGTTCAGAAAACCCTGTAGGAAACATGCATAGTTGGCAACGTGTAAACATTTTGTTTATTTCTTAAAATATGTGGTTCTCAAATTTTTTTGTTTTGGTGACCCCTTTCATACAGAAAACATCTGAATGTGTGACTCCCCATTTATAAATGGAATCTCCAGCATTGGAGATTTTAAAGGACAGGTTATGCCAATTCCTGTTAGGGATGGGGTAGATCAGGGGTGGCCAATCCGCAGCTCGTGACCTGCATGCGGCTCTTCAAAGAAAAAATTGCAACACCCACTCTCGCTCCAACACCCGCAGTGTGTTTCTGTCTGCACGGGATGCTGGTGTAGATTTCAAAATGGGCACCTTCAAAATGGCTGCCCTTAAAAGGGCAATGCCTGCTCTGTTGTTAAAAGGGCTGCGGCCAGACCTTTTTTTTTGATCCTCAACAACTTTTTTCCCTCTGTTCTTTGTGCTGTATCCACCAATAGTTTGGCTCTTCCTCTGCAACAGGTTGGCCACCCCTGGGCTAGTTGGTGCTTGATCCTGCCGTGAGGTTCCATTTGGTACTAGTATTCTCTGATTCTCTGATAGTGCATGTGCCCCTATGTAACTACCTCATGGCTGTAGCCCCACAGTTTGAGAAAACCCCTGCTTCAGATCTTAAAATGACAAATATCTTAGTGGAATGCATACTTGAAAATTTTAGAAAAACGCAAACTTCCTAATAATATTGCTATATAAATAATAAGTACCAACATACAATCTAATAATCTTTCTTTACAAATTACTAACATAAGAAGACATTTATGTACAGAGTATTTGTATGAATGGGGGAATAAATTAATGACTGGAAGTGCTCAAGCAACATGTCATCCACCTCTGGGAAACACATGAAATCATTTCTCCAAAAAGTTGAGAAGCTACAACTTTTTTACTGAGAAGTTATAACATAAAGAGGTTTTTAATAGTTATTTAATTTCAGGACACTGTCTTGAGAACTAAAACAATGTATGTAAAGAATACAAGTGTTTGAACTTTCTGAAAATAGAATTTCATTTCCTGTTGAACTCTAATCAAATTGAAGGAATACTTAAGAAAATGAACTGAATAAAAAAAGGAGTGAAAATGCAAAATTAAAAAGATTTTCTGAAAATCTCTGACTATAAAGACAAAGGAACAATAGCCATCAAGAAAGAATGACAACCCAAATATACATATGCACTAACTAATTACATATGCATAACATGGAGAGGATCCTGAGGACAACCCCAAAGTCTTGGAGGCAATGAAAAAAAACAACAAACTTTGAACCTAAATAAGCTGAAGAGATATTTTCTCATATAATTTTGTACAAATAGGAAGATGAAAACCAAACCTTCTAAAGTGAGCACCTCAACACACACATTACACATTACACATATACACACACTCACACACAGCTATCTTGCTTAAACCACAAGCACTCATCAGTATTTCCTGTCCATCTGTACAAGCAAACTGTCACAGCAACTAAGAAAAACAGCTGGTTAGCTGGTCTGTTTTAAGATTGAGGAAGTCATTTAAGAAGTTGGTAACTTATTTGAAATAGATAGATAAACAGATAGGCTACGTCTACACTGGCCCCTTTTCCGGAAGGGGCATGTAAATTTCAGCAGTCGTCGTAGGGAAATCCGCGGGGGATTTAAATATCCCCCGCGGCATTTAAATAAAAATGTCCGCCACTTTTTTCCGGCTTTTAAAAAAGCCGGAAAAGAGCGTCTAGACTGGCCCCGATCCTCCGGAAAAAGTGCCCTTAGGGGGCTGGAGCATATGACCTATGAGGAGAGGCTGAGGGAGTTGGGTCTGTTTAGTCTGGAGAAGCGAAGAGTGAGGGGGGATATGATAGCAGCTAAAAGGGCTGCGGCCAGACCTTTTTTTTTGAAAGTAAGAATAAGAGCCTCCGGAAAAGGGCACTTTTTCCGGAGGATCGGGGCCAGTCTAGACGCTCTTTTCCGGCTTTTTTAAAAGCCGGAAAAAAGTGGCGGACATTTTTATTTAAATGCCGCGGGGGATATTTAAATCCCCCGCGGATTTCCCTACGACGACTGCTGAAATTTACATGCCCCTTCCGGAAAAGGGGCCAGTGTAGACGTAGCCATAGATAGATATAAAATTATAGTATTTAGTTAAGATTGTTTATTTTTGCCCTGTTATAAACTGCATTGCTATTAATAATAATCAACAGGAATCACTCATCCTTAAAATTCTCTGGCCCATTTACAAACCTTCTTCATTAGCTAAAGATATACTGAGACTGACTTCATGATAGTTTGGGAAATGAGGCCTTGACTGCAATTTACCAGAAAAAGGTGTTCCACAAAGGTGGACCTACTCTCAAAAGTGTCATCTTTGCTAAAAGCTCAATGTTGAGAGAGATACAGAAGAAGATATAACAGAAATAATCAGTTTGTCATGTGTGTTCTGTCATGTATGCTTCTATTTCTAATGTTTTCTTTCCCTTCCTTTAATAATAAAGCAGCCATGTTTAATAATGCCTTCTAAGATAGTTAAAAGAATATCTAGAGAAACAATTATTGAGCAATGGCTTTCTAGCTTTAATAGCTTTAATAATTTTTAAAATAAATTGCTTAGCATCTAACCATTTAAAATTACTCTCTTTCCACCTCACATAGCTCTCAATTTTTATATCTAAATTCTCCCATGTAACCTCCAAGAAAATTGAAAACGGGAATGATCTCACTGAGTTAGGGGAAAAGATGGGGTCTCCAAGTCAGGAGGGAATGTTTCTTTTCCTTAGTCCACAGAGAAAGTTGAGGAGGAAGGCTGGGGTGAAGGCGCATGCACAGATTGGAAGTGTACTTATGCCAGAAAGAGCTGTGGAGAGCAGAAATGAGGGCCGAATTGTTAATAGAAAGCCACAGAGCAGGCTGACCCAGGAAAGTACTGAAACATCTACGCTGTGTCTACATTGGTGCGATCTTGTGCAAAAGCAATTGCTTTTGCGCAAAAATTTGCTGCCTGTCTACACTGGCCGCGAGTTCTTGCGCAAGAACACTGATGTTCTAATGTATGAAATCAGTGCTTCTTGCGCAAGAACTATGATGCTCCCACTCAGGAATAAACCCTCTTGTGCAACTGTTCTTGTGTAAGAGGCCAGTGTAGACAGGCAACATGAATTTCTTGTGCAAGAAAGCCCTATGGCAAAAATGGCCATCAGAGCTTTCTTGCGCAAGGGACCGTCTACACTGGCATGGATGCTCTTGCGCAAAAGCACATCTATCTTCTGGAAGAGTTTTTGCACAAGAACTCTTCCACAAAAGAGTTCTTGTGCAAAATCATGCCAGTGTAGATGTTGCCCTAAAGTCAAAGTCAACAGGGTCTGTATTCCAAGTGTGATGAAGTCAGGTTGGAGAGCTACAATAGAGGGGAAGAAAGGCAGGCCTAGGAGGGAAGGGGAAAAAAAGCTAACTCCCTTGTTAATGAGGAGTCTGCCAATTAGGAGCAGCTGACAAGGAGCTGTCTCAAGCAGATTAGGAATCAGCTGAGACTGGGCTACCTTGGCCTAATTGGAGCCAGCTGATTCCACTTTTGGCTGGCTGCAGACCTTTTAAAAGCTTTCCCTGTTAGGTGGAGGGGGAAGATGTGGAGGGGAGGGGAGAGAGAAAACAAGAACAAGAACACACACACATGCACAAACCAACCAACCAACCAACCAGGCACAGTTTTTTTTCTTGATATACACTATTTCGGAAAAGCTGCCATTATTCAAATGGAGCACAGGAAATTCAAATCCGTGCTTCATTTGCAATGCATTTGCATTCCTCTCTTGAAGGAAGAATGCAATGTAGACATATCCAAAGAGAGTGAGGCTCTAAATGAAGAAATACTGTGAAAACTGATGAAAGTGAAGTTATGAGCAGGGACATTGAAACGGACCCCCTTAAAAGACCCAATGATTTTTTGTTTGTTTGTTTCGATTTTACAACCTTATCCTTGTTTAACTTTTATAGGCTACTTCATCACATCAAAGAAAAAAAAGGGGCAAATGAAACATTCTCGAGGTGATCAATTCAAGAGGAGTGACAGTCGTGCAGTGCCATGAATCACTACATTCTAATATGCCATGTGATGGGGTACTGGTTTCGTCATCTAGAACGGCTGAAGTTGCACACAGTGAAAAATGGACACTTCATTATGTGCACCTGGCAGGGTGAGACAAGGTCAGAGGTTTTAGAAGGAAACCCAATTCTTTCCAA